AACAACTTTATTTTTCAGTGTGAACAATTCCCAGCACATTGCTACACTTAGTGTTTCACCCTGGATTTTCCATCTATCAGTTATGACTGGCCTGGGTGGCTGTAGGTCAGGTGGTAGAGCAGGTCATCTACTGATCGGAAGGTTGGTGGTTCGATCCCTGGCTGCTCCCAATCTGCAAATGTCCTTGGACAAGATATTAACCCCCAGTTTCATCCACCGGCGTATGATCGTGTGTAAATAGTAGCTAGAAAGCACTTAAAAGCAAGTGCTTGTGTGAATGTGGCATGTTGTATAGAGCACTTTGAGTCCTCCAGGAGAGAAGAAAAGCACTATAAAAGAATCAGACCATTTACAATTTACCTCAGAGGCCAGATGTCAACATTATTAAAGCAGTGACTGAACCAGTAACAAAAGGCAGCAAATATCCAAGGAAGAGCATTAGCATGCATCAAAAAGCTTGAACTATTCTTGAACACCACTTGGTTAACAGAGCTCAGGCAGAATGAAAGTAGTTGAACTTCCCAGTCGCTTAGGAAATGCTTTAGATTCATACTTCTATTATGAAATTGGTCTTATTTACAAACAGTGAGTGGCTTTTGTTTCTGTCTGTTATGCTGTGATCTGTACAGAGGTTATGTGACTACGTGTGTGATCTTCTGCTGGAGGAGTCCAACGTGCAGCCCGTCTCCACTCCTGTAACAGTGTGTGGGGACATACATGGACAGGTAAAAACGGAGTCTCGATCACTGATGTTTCTAAGCAACATGTTTACACTGACTCTTAACATAGTTTTCACCTTTTTTAATGTTGGTCTGGGTTTTAAATAAATACCGAGTGTCTGTCTGTGTTCTAGTTTTATGATCTTTGTGAACTCTTCCGAACTGGTGGCCAGGTTCCAGACACAAATTACATCTTCATGGTTTGTTTCTTTTATTAAGTTTGGAACACATTTTTAGAAGCAGCTTTCTTAATTGGTTCTGTTTAACAGGTATGTTGGCACAGTGTCTGTAATATACCTCCGTCATCTGTAGGGGGACTTCGTCGACCGAGGGTATTACAGCTTGGAGACGTTCACCTATCTGCTAGTGCTGAAGGCCAAATGGCCTGACCGCATCACTCTTCTGCGTGGAAACCATGAGAGCAGGCAGATCACCCAAGTTTACGGCTTTTATGGTGAGTTTTGATTCACAGCTGATGAGGAGCAGCCCCTTTTTTTACTTTGGAAAACAACAAATGAAATAATAATAAAATAGAACTAACAAATAGATTGTGTTGAAATAGGACCAAAAAAATCAAACAAAAAACAAAATATTTTTTAAAGCTGTTTTTTCACAATATTTAGTTTATATGACATGCGCAGTACTTTGAAAAAGCATTTTTCTCCCTTCCTGATATAATATTTTTGCATATTTGTCACATTAAATGTTTAAGATCAAGCGAATGTTTATATTAGACAAAGACAACCCAATTGTTAAACTGGTTTTATTTATTGACAATCCAAACGCACCTGTCCCTGTGTGAAAAAGTCATTGCTCTTATTATCCACCTTTATGGAAAGGTGAGTACAGTCACACCCAGGCCTGATTCCAGGCTGACATCAGACTGGAAATGGTTACAAAGCAAACTAAGGCAAACCACGAGCACCATTATCCACAAATTGAGAAAACTTCAGTGGTGAACAGTGGCAGGCCTCCCAAAATTACTCCAAGAGCACGTCGATGACCAGAAGGTCACAAAAGAACCCACAGCATCATCTACAGAACTGCAGGCCTCACTCGCCTCAGGTTAGCTCAGTGTGCATGATACAACAGTAATAAAATTCTGCAGTGAGAAGAGATTTTGCAGAAATGGCATCCAAGACAAACCACTGCTGACCAGAAAGAACACAACAGCTCGTCTCACATTTACCCTGATCTTGGTGATCCTCAGGACTTTTGGGAAAAATTCAGTTCAATTTTATTTATATAGCACCTTGAGGCAACCATTGTTGTGATTTGGTGCTGTATAAATACAGCGGCTTGCAAAAGTATTCGGCCCCCTTGAACTTTCCCACATTTTGTCACATTACAGCCACAAACATGAATCAATTTTATTGGAATTCCACGTGAAAGACCAACACAAAGTGGTGAACACGTGAGAAGTGGAACGAAAATCAGACATGATTACAAACATTTTTTACATTTCTCTTTTTTATTCTTACAGATGAGTGCCAGACCAAGTATGGGAATGCTAATGCCTGGCGTTATTGCACCAAAGTCTTTGACATGTTAACAGTTGCAGCTGTGAGTATTACACTGTTAATGTCATTTGTACTGTTATTACATCTTTCCAGGTACATGACAGCTGCTTATGATCAAAGGGATTGTATGTAGGGAATGACGGCTCTCCAGAAGTGAAGCCAAAAAGTCTGCATCAGCAGCTGTGCACACTAAAATGATGTGCAGTTATCACAAGATACCAAAGGGAGAGGTTAGAGGTGCAGACCACGGCTGAAACAAGTCAGACAGTGAGACAAGACAAGCAAAACTACATCAAATGGACCAGAGACAGACTGTCAAAATAAAACAGGAAGCAACAAACCAGGGAAACGCCTAACAGAGAGATGAAGATGCAGTGAAACGCTAGATTAAACTAAGACAGACGAGAGGTAATGCAAAACAAAAAATGAAACCAGGGGTGAAAACTCAGAGCACTTGGTCAAAGACAAAGAAGCACGATAGCGTGAGGCCATCTCATCTTTTACAGCATCGGCAGGAAGGGAAGGGGCTAACAACCCAACTTTAGAAAAAGATCAAACAGCAAATGTTTGCGAATGTTCTGCTGAGAACGTTTTTCTTAGCCAACAGTGTCACCTCCCTGATGACGTGGTAGTTCATACTTTGCTGTCGTTAACCACCAAGGAGTCTTTTAAACTCTGAAAGTCACCCTTAGTCACTGTGAGACCTGAGTAACCAGGTTTAGTATTTCACAACTTTTTAAAAAATGTCTTTATCTTTGATGTCCGTGTTAAGTGCAGCCATGCACAGCTCGCAGACTCTAAAGTCTCAGAAGTATGACCCTATAATGCATCTGTGATTCCAAACTGTTCTTCTCGGCTTGTTTTCTTTCAGCTGATGGACGAGCAAATCCTGTGTGTCCATGGAGGCCTCTCTCCAGACATAAAGACCCTGGACCAAATTCGAACCATTGAGCGGAACCAGGAAATCCCTCACAAAGGAGCTTTTTGTGATTTGGTGTGGTCAGACCCCGAAGATGTGGATACCTGGGCCATCAGCCCCAGAGGAGCAGGTTGGCTTTTTGGTGCCAAGGTCACAAATGAGGTTGGTTTGTTATACTTGATTACTTTTGATGATATTGATGTAATAAATGTCCTGCTACATGAAAATGTGTTTTTAGGTGTAAAATGATAGCTGTGAAAATATGCAGTCGATTACTATTGCCACAGCTGGAGTCAGATTACGATTTTATCCTCT